ATAATAATAATATGGTAAAATGATTACTATCCAAACATGTCACAAAATACTAAGTCACGCAACAAAATGTCCAACAAATCTGTCACAATACTCGTGTCACGCATCTAATGAATCCTAATTAGATTATTCATACTCTCTTTCTGGTGTTACAAGGGGATAATTGTGGAGTTCTTACAGCCGGAGGTAACGCCAACCACACTTGCTGTCACTTCCCTTATAAGTACAAGGATGTCATGTATTACACATGTACCTACGTCGATAGCCACAAACCCTGGTGTGCCGTGACAGCTAACTACGACCGCGATGGTGTATGGGGCGTCTGTATAGGTACGTTAATATCTCATTCAAAAGATCACCAAAAATCCATCCTCTTTAACAGCTTTCTGGGTGGTCACGGAATAAAACAGATGTTGAACAGTGTTAGATGGACTTGGAGTTGATCTATCAAACATGATTGACTCAGCAAAGAAGGCAGCCAAATGGRTTTAAATGTCTCTAATTTAACACAACAAACCACAAAAAAAATGTTTGTTGTTTGACAAACTGTATCTTAACTCCATACAATGTGTTTCGTGATGCAACATTCACGAACAAGGTGTCCAGACTGGTCGTCCAACAATGCTGGAAGCCAGGAAGTGTMGGGCAAGCGCTAAGCGAAAAAGCTGTTAGAGCAACCAATGCAATAGCTTTAAAAAAACATGAAGATTTTACTTAAAGATCGTTGCATTTTAACAAAATAATGTTTTATTTATCAGATGAAAGCGACAAGAATAAAAAGCCTTACCGGATTGTAAATGGCAAYGTAGTCAACGCAAAAAAGGCAACGAGCAAAGATGCAGTCAAATCTAAAGCACTGCCAAAGATTCAACCYTCATTCTCAACACAGAATGACATGCTAAGACCACATCAACCAGCTCCGTTCTTAACCGACTGGAATCCAAATGTCGCCTTTCAAGACAACAAAAATGTGCGTCCAACACCTATGGTAATAGCAAAAGCACACTCTATCTGGAAAAAACTGGGATTCAAACCACGTCAGTTRGGTATGTTGTCCAAGATGGGAGGGCAAGTCATAACAGTTGCTTTGGAAAATGGTGGAATTCTTCCCACTACTGTCAATGCTCAAGTAGCTACACCGGCTATAGGGGTACAGACAGGTGGGATCAACACCGGAGTTGTTGCTGGTGCCGGAGGGGTTACTGCTGCTGGAGGTAATGGATGTGTTCAAGTCGTACCATGTAAGACAGGCCAAACAAATGTAGTTAAGCCTGMAGTTKATCCATTACCGGAAAAAATACCGGTAGTACAACCGGCTAATATACCGGACATTAACATGGGTAAATACCCTAACAGAATATCCAGCATGGTCAACAAGTTTTATACAGTTAAGTTCAACCCGACTAAATCTARACAAACACAACCTAACACAGTGGTACCAGGAAGTAGTGGACAAACCATCCCTACCACTATCCCCACGACAGCACCAACACAAGGAACGACAGCTCCTGCTCAGGGGGGAGGTACTGGCGGTGCCGGTGGTGCCGCAGTAACAACTCCATCACCTGGTAACACAACACCAACACAAGGAGGTGACATGACAACACCATCACAGGGTAACACAACGCCAGGACAGGGTAACACAACGCCAACACAAGGTGTCACAAC